GAATCAACCAGTCCCAGCCTAAGACTCGTGTGTTTTCAGCGACGTCCATCTTTGGCTAGAAGGTATTCGGAATCATTCAGTGTAGCTTGAGTGCCGCTCATGAGCGTATAACAGGCTTTCCCGAGTATTCCCCAGAACTCGTTGGATTCCTACGAAGTGACACGGTGAGCTGTGGTATACTACGCCGCTTTCTGTTTCTGGAAGGATTCACTTATTATCGAGATAGTATCTTGAAGATACCACACCCCAAGCTCTACCTGACCGCCTTCACTGCCTGCTTCTCATCACTCATCTGTCTAGTTACATTTGCGATACCGATTTCTGGGCCGATCGATTTGCCTGTATGGCAATGGTTGCCTGTACTATTCTTCATCCTCCTGCAGTGCACCTTTAGCCTTGCCCCGTGGGCCAACACCTTCCTCTCCGACGTTTGGGGCGATCGCCGTGTATGGAAGTACTTCAAGATTGGTGGAATGGCGAGTGTTATCCAGTTATTCTTCCTCGGTGTCATTCCGGCTTTCACTCCTTATTATCCCTTACCATGGATGCCTGTACTTGGTGGTTTAACGCCAATTGCAATTGGTATGATATACTATGACCTCCCGAAAGATAGGCGCTCGGCCGCATCGAGGAAGGAATTCGTTATGATGATCATCACCATCGGGAGTGGTATATTCACTTTCGCCGTTGGCTCTCCTCTGCTCTATCACTTTTCATCTAGTAGCGTCGGCTTGGTGAAGATGCTTGTTTTCCTATCTTTCTACATCTCCAGAAGAGTTTTTGAGATAGCAGCCAAGCATTACGCAAGATTATATTGCATTGATTGTTATCCATTAATAAGTTTATTCGCCATGTACGCTTATGAGTTCTTTACTGCGTCCGTCATTAGTTCTGTCCGCCAGATCTGGCTGGCTTTCCTACTGATCGCTCTAGACCTCGCTGAGAACCTCTATTATATTTACTGTAGCTATATTGTCAGACCATCGGTCCCGAAGAGCAATAAGGTTTGCCAAGGTCCCGTCGAAGTTGGAGACATTGATGCAAAGAGCATGGATAACGATAGTATGGGACAACCTGAGGATGCCGACCGGACGCAGCTACCATTCACGATTGTCGAGCTTCCCTCGAGTAGTTCCTATGAAGCAATGCAACTTGACGAGACTGGCGTCACTGATTACGGATGTCACTACGCTGAAAGAATCGAAGATGCCATACAGGGCAATGACGAGGGGCATCCAATAGGGTCGTCGCTCAATGCATCTCACGCTCTTGGTCAGCTTGAGTCAGACGTGTTTTGGGAAAGACCAAGAAGGCCAACCAGAACGCATTCCGCATGCGACATAAATGATCCGGGCTTCTCGCGAATACAGCCACCTGCATACGGGAGCATCGGTGTGAATCCAGAAGTTGGTACCGGTTCAAACATACTGGACCCGCAGCAGCAAGTCCCCGCAGAATTCCTCAGAACTGCGGATCGTGGGAGGAGGGCTCGACGAACCTCTACTATGAGTACATCCTACTCCTTCACGGACCTTCTCAGACAGCAGACTATCTCTGTGTCGCCAGAAAAAGAGCTCATCACTAATGATTGTGGGAAGAGCCAATCTGGCGAGAAATATCGGAAAGACAACTTGGACGGGGTGGTGGAAGATCTCGATGCCAACATGACGAGCGAGGAGATATCAGAAGATGGGGAACCTGCTAGGCGCCCACTCTCTATCATGAGTATCGCTATATGCAAGGAAGCAATGGAGATCCTCGCTCCCATACACTATTTGATATGCTTTGTTGTCCTACGTTCCGTGAACCCGAAGCTCCATGACACCTTCTGGGATATGACTGACGAGGAGTTTATGCGTGGTATTCGGAGATTGTTGGTCGATATCGTGGCTGAAGTTGGTGTTTTCATGCTACTCGTAGTCGCCATGAAGCGGTGGTACCAGGAATCTATCATATCCATCTTCCTCCGACTAATGTATCGCTTCTTTTGGCCTTTTATCTCTGTTCAGGTTGCTTTGATGTCTTTCTATATAGTCCTCCAATATTCGAATGCTGGTATGACGGTTCCATTCGACTTTAAGTGGATAGGTCAGGAAAACGTGACATGGCATGGTGGGAACTGCTATACTGTTGGCAATGAAACAATCGATGAAGTTTGCTGATATTGTGATGAAGCTTGTATGAAAATTTAAATGGTCGCCTGCAGAGCTATCTGCTGGAGTAGTGATGTGGTATCCTGAGTCAACAGGATGCCGATGATTTGCATGGCTTTGGCGTAACCATAATGAGGCTGCGTTGCTTGAAAAAGTATCACGTGGAACGCTTGGACGGCATCGCTGTTGCAGGGTTAGGAATTTATCTTGAATACTCCCGCTCAGTTTATCGGTTGCAGAACAATCCTTCGAGTAGGTCTGAGGCCCAGAGCCAGG